AGAGGGCTTGGAACACTCTGTATGGTTGTGGATCCTTTAACATAGAGACGAGAGAGAGAGAGAGAGAGAGAGAGAGAGAGAGAGAGAGAGAGAGAGAGAGAGAGAGAGAGAGAGAGAGAGAGAGAGAGAGAGAGAGTTCTTTACAGAGTCAAGGTGAATATTATTTTCAACCAAAACTTCAGAGGCGTAATTTCAAAAGGTATCGTCCATCTATAGTTCGGCTGAGCCACGAAAACTCTCCCTAAATTGCTTAATAATTTAAGAACGCCCTACTGTGGACTCAAACCAGGGCTACCCTCGCAGTAGTCAAGCATGATACTTAATAATAATAATAAATAACATTTTTATAGCGCACATCCCCGCTCGACAGCAAGCTCCAAGCGCCTTAACACTATATTATTTCCCCAGCAGACCCTATAACACTCAGAAACATTTTCGGCTTCCGGGGAAAGCATACAGAGCAAGCAGCCGATTAAGCACTCAAACACAAACAAACTTTCACTGTTTAATAGCTGGGTACTAATTCTCATCTGGATGAAGAGAGGAAAATTGGTGTAAAGTGCCTTTCCCAAGGACACAACGTCGGGCCCTCAGTGGTCGGGCCCCTGTCACTTTCCAAGCTAGTGGCGCTACTTCACAATGACACAGCAACTTTCCCTTTTAGTTTTAGTAAGAGTTTTAAGGCACTTCCAACACAATTGGGCCATATAACGTAAGTGCCGAACATTTTTTATCTAGTCGACTGTTTGCTAGGTATTCTTTAAAGCCACCAAAGTTCGAGAGAATTAAATGCAACACCAGTCTTACATACTATGAGTGGCTTCAGTGTGTAACAATGGATAATTGTGTCTGGGACTTGGGAAAGATTGAACAGGAAGAGATTCACGGCAAAGTTAGTTGGAATTCGGAAGGCAGGGCGTTTGCTACTGCTTCAGAAGAAGCAGCCTAGATCGATCAAAACATAGGAAATAGGAAACAAAATAGTGGTCTGAACCACGCGAGCCTATGGACATGGATGAAAGAGGAATAGCCTATTATAAAGGCTGTCTATAATAGATCTATATTTCATTTATAGGTGTGTATGTGTATGTGTGTATGTGCGTGTGTGTGTGTGTGTGTGTGTGTGTGTGTGTGTGTGTGTGTGTGTGTGTGTGTGTGTGTGTGTGTGAGAGAGAGAGAGAGAGAGAGAGAGAGAGGGGGGGGGGGGAG